TATTCATTATAAACCATTATATAAGCCATTAATGAACAAATTATTTATTTTAAAATTTTATAACATTTCTTAACCTTCATTAGTTGATTTGGCACTAATTTGCAAATTATTTTCATGTGAAAGTTGTGTGTACATATGTGTATGTGTATTCCTGCCTTTATACTGTCCACAATTTGTCAGCCTTCAGGGCAATGTTCTAAGGAGCTTTTAAGATTTTGAAGGAAAGACAGATCATCAGGTCTCAGATAAATGCCTTGATCTCTAAGGTACAGAAACATTCTGTAAAGTATTCTTTCACTATATGGAGAAAAAAATGTAGATCAACTGTTACTGTGAGAAAAGAGGAAGATAAAAGATTATGTCCACAGGTTGGCTGGGGAGGCAGGAGGACTTGTTCTGTATTTGTCAGAAAAAAGACTACATGTGTTCCTGCTTGTTTTTGGGTACTGGATGAGTCTTGTTCCTGTTACATCAGGGTAGGGAAGCATCAACACTGTTTTAATGAGGCACCTGAAGGTTTTTCTGGTGTAGGAACATCAGCAGACTGGCATAAAGTCTTGATTGCTGACTTTGTGTCACTTTGAGTTGGCCTTGATGCCATTAGCAGCACACTGGTGCTGCAAGCTGGGACTGGATTCATTCCAGATGCAATTTAGTACATCTGGGACGATTCATACATCATGGTTGAAGCCATTTGCTTTCCCCTAGTAGAGGTTTGACACACTGAAAATATTTCTCTCTGTGTGAGCTCTAGAGACTGATGTCTCTTTAATTTTCTTAGGGACCTTGTTTCGTAAAAAGTAAAACTTGCATGCCATGAATTTAGACTTAATTAATTCTTCTTCTTGCATTCTTAATGCTTGAGTTGAGATCTTGAGTGTATGATTCAAAACTGTTTCTCATCTTTTGACAGTTTATCCCACAGTTTTAATGACTTCTTATTGTGCTGCATTGGTTTAAGAAGCACTAGCCAAATTTACTTTTGACTTATTTTTACAGTAGTTGTCACCATATATTATTAATAACATAATTTCTTTCTGAGCATTCTTCATATAAAATTAAAAATAGAAAGAAGTTCTGAGTACTTTTCATTTGCAGAAAAAAAAATGACTAAATTAAGTATGTCCTAATGAAAAAGTGAAGACTTTATGATAACCTAATCAAGTCTAAAACCAGAAATGCACTGATAAAAATTGGTTCCCAGAAATGTTAAGTGCTGAAAAAAAGATAAAAGCTGAAGTGGGTATAATTAAAAAAAAATACAATCCAGTAAAAGAGAAATTATAGAAAAATGTTTCAAGTGAAGGGTAGTTGTGAGAAACACTATGTCTGCAAACACTACAGTTTGTACTATTGAGAAAAGAAGCGAGGAGGCGAGTATTGGCATAACAAAAATTCTCACTATTAGTGTCTGGTATTTTGCTGCATCATCTTGTACTTCTGCAGTTTGCTGCATCATTTCCAATTCAACTGCAACATTCCTGGTGCTAAGCTGGCATGGTTAGAAATTCAGAAAAGCTATATATATACAACTATTCTTCTCATATATTATTTCCACATTTTTAATGTTTTTCATATTAAATATTCTGAACAAAAGTGTAAGAAATGCTGAGGTTGTACTTGAGACTGTGTGCTGGAGCCCACCATGCCCCCTCTCCCAGACAGCACAGGTGAGTGTCATTCTCACTGGGAAAGGCACAACACCAAGTGTCACCCAGCTGCATCATTCACTGTGGTGGTCAGTGCCCAGGGGTAGGTGCAACAACTCAATCTAAAGAAATAACTGCATCTAAAGATTGTCCATTTCATTCTGGTGGAAAAAATCTGCATCGGGCACCTGTCAAATCCTTCTAGCCCTAAAGATGCATCAGCTGATTGAAATACTCTGACTCAAGAATCCCATATTTTATGTAATCTATATAAGATCTTTTTGTATAAATATTTAATATTTTTTCATCTCTCTTTATACATAAATCAAAGCTGATTATTCACAACTGATGACAGGGTGAAATTTATGTTTTGGGAAGTGAGAGTGATAACAGGAGACTGATGATCTAGAAAATGTATGGTTTCTTTCAAAATATTTACTATTTGACCAAAGTTGGCTTTGATTAAAACAAGGGAATAGACAGTGGCCCTTTGCCTTGGGGAAAAAAAAGAGATTTTAGAAATGACATTGTGCAAAGTACATTTTTAACTAAACTTATTTGTCTAACCAGAGAGTATATGGGCAACACTGACATTTTGGCACTTTGAATAAGCATCAGCATCTCATGCTAGTTCCCAAACAGAAAGCTGTCCTTTAAGCTCTCCTTAAAAGATATTTTCTCATCTTTATAAAACACAGAAATGGAAATGAAATTAGAAAATGTTTAAGAAAAGGTCAAATGTTTGGTTAAATCCAATGGGTATATCTATTATCTATTTTTATTTCTCAGATGAAACAATAACCATTATTAGTAAAACTCTTGCAATGTTCTAGAAGTTAGTGAAGCTTTTCACTTGATCTGGAGTACTGCCAAACCCCGTATACTCAATCTAAACGTTGTACTTAACTGCTGACAAAACTAAACAGCCATTTGAATTTAATGCTGCTATGCCATAAATATAACTGAAGCTATAGAAAAGAGGTCATTTGGAACCTTTTCTGGAAGTCTCTGTGCTTATGCTATGACTTTCCTCAAAAACATACAGTAGCCTGTCTTGCTTTTTGTAATGCTGTTGGTTTTTCTTTTTAAGGTTAACATGAGGCAAAACTATTTCTTCAAAGAATGATATTTTTATTTGATTTTTATTTCCTTGCTCTTGTCAGTTCAGATGTTATTAACACAGTGTTACTGAGAGGTTTAGCTATTTTCTAGATAGTGAGCTCTCAACTATCAAGATTCAGTAAAGCTTTTCTTTTGATAAGGAACTTTTATATAATAAGTGATTTTGGTGCCTGAGACAGCTACAGTTTTTAGGTTCAGAGCTAAACCAGGAGCTCTGAAAAGGACTCTGACATAGAGTCAGAGAGAGAGAGTGAGAGAGAGAGAGAGAAAATATTCTAAAATTTGCATTAAAATAGCATGGAAATCACTGGATTTCCTGATATTATTCAGTATTTAGATTATTTGTTGTATGTCATGAAAAGTTCCTTTGGGTTACTGTATGCCTACTTTTCATCTTATTCTAAGTACAATCTCCACTATTTGACCTGAAATATAGTTAGTGGTGTTTTTTCCAACAGTGACTATTCCTTAAATTAAAAAGTAGTTTTACTGAGGTCATTGAGTTCTTTGATTTGCTAGTTAAGAAGATACTTCTGGACTCATTTGAGAAAAAGAAAGGATAAATGACATCAGTCGATATTTTACTGTGAACTGTGTATATTCACAGAGAAAAAGAAAGGAACACATTCTCGCTAGGAATAATCATATTAAGATTTTATTTCCATGGTTTGGTTACAGAATGTTCTGTTTGACATTTCTCATTCAGTACACAGTACACATGGTACTTCAAAGATGACAGAGTCTGTTTGAGCTTGCATATCTGTGGTGTCATGAAATCATTACAATGACAATTTTACTTGAACCTACCTTTCTATCAGTTTCAAAAATCAAAGCAGCCTTTTATAGGACAGCAGCCCGTCATGGACCAACAACAGCCACAGAGAAGAAGGCTGCAGTGTGCACACAGATAACACTTTCAAAAATTTACATTTTGAATGTTAGGTATCCAGAAGTTTTCTTGAAAAAGGAAAATAATAATAATAATAATAATAATAATAATAATAATAATAATAATAATAATAAAGTCACAGGCTAAAATACTTTGTGTCAGTTTACTTTGAATTGGTAAGATTAAAAATGTTTTCCAACTCTGTCATATTGTTCTCCATCACTGGCTCTTCCTGTGACCATAAAAGTGATAACATCTGTGGGCAATGGTTGTGAGGCGCTTCACACTTAATGGGATAAGCAAAATAAGCAGATTCTTAACAGCCCAAAGCAAAAATGGAGTTTTGAGTATGCATCTCTCCTGTTAATTGGTGTAGATTTGGTTTTGCCATGAGATTCCAGAGGGTTTAAAACTGATAATATTTATGCTAACTACCTAGTTTGTCAGAAGATAGAGAATTGAAGTGTAAAAAAAATTCGACAACCTCAAAATGCTAACAGCTCTCAGTTCTAGAGAATGTATTTCTGTGGAGCAGTGTACATGCTTCTTTCTATAGCTCTTTTTCTGTGCAGTTACATCAGAAATGCCAGTTTCAGATACAGGAATAATTGGTGCGAGTTCTTATTGAGTAGTTTAATCTGCCCAAATTAAAAACTGAATTTAAATCAAGTTCCAGATTTTGAAAATATGACTTCATTTTGGCTTAAGAATTGATTGTTAAAAACACTTTTTCAACTTAAATTAGGCATGCGTGGTTGCTTGTTCAGGTTTTTTGTTAGTTTGCTTGCTTGTTTGTTTGTTGATTTGTTTTGTTTGGTTGGTTATTTTTGTTAATTATATCGTTGCATAGTTTTTTACCAAAATATTTCTAACTTCCTATGTAACTTACAGAAACACAATGATAATAAGAATCTATAGTAATAAGCTATATATATACTATAATCTCTCTCTATATATACTATAAGCTATATATATATATATATATATATATATGTATACTATAATCCATAGTAATAAGCTACAGAATGTAGAACACTAACTTTTAAAAATGGACCAAATTATTGTGTAAACAAGCCCCTGTTTTTTATGCCATTTGTTAAATATTAAAGACAGCAGAATATTTGACAAGTTACATGGATACTAACTTTTGGATAAGATGTTCTGTTCCAGAATGTTTAAGATGTGTAATAATTCTCTTCACCCCAGGCCTTTAAGAACTAATATAAATTTTATTGTTATTGATAATACATTTGTTTAGATCAAGTTTTCCCAAATGATATTAGGTGTATTATAATGTAAGTTACATAATATTTCTGATTTTTTTTTTTGATTTACACTAGAAGTTACATGGGAAGACCAGCAGAAAAAGGTGAATGGTACAATAACTGATGACAAACCATTGCCGAAAAAGAAACACCATTCTGAGACAGGTTTGTCAGGGTTTGGAAAACCACATGAAAGCATGAGACTATAAAACCACATTTCATGCTTTTGTAATGCGTGTGTGCTTTATGTACCTTATTTTTTCACTTTGGTGTGAAATATTTAGCATGTAGAGACCATTTAGATTATATAGTTCTGTTTTAGAATAGCCAAAATAGATCTGCTTTTGTAAGCAATTGTGTTAGAATGCACATACATTAGAAAAGAAGTGTTCTGGTGCAACATTAGATGTAGTTTGCTTTTAGTTTTGAATTTTGTTATGACTTAATATATTTGTGCAAGCCTCAGGAATCCAAGTATAATCTATGCTGATTCTTATTTAGTTGACCAAACCAAGGTATCTGTTGCATGTATGGTGGGAAAGTCTTCTACAGACTTAAATCTGAAACCTTCTTTTGCCATCACACATGGCAGAAATAATGTTCCAGTGTAATTTTTTATACAAGCTGCAGTTTATATCCTCATACTTGGAAACTCTCAAATCTAAAATACCTCTTCTTTCCTCCATTCTGTACACAAATAGAATTCTTCTGAAACTAAAAACTGTCATAAACTTTCTTTCTCCCCAAATGGAAAGTTCAATTATTCAGCTAGCTTTGTTCCTACAAATGCATAGCAATAAAATGTAAACCTAGTAATAATAACAATGATGATAATAATAGTATTGTTCTGTCTTCATAATCAGAGAATAAAAGGTCCTAATCACATTCATGTATACACTTGCAAAGGGCAAGCACACTTTAAGGAGTAGAGAAGGTAGGGAGGAGAGAAGGAAGGGGAAGGGAAAGGAAAGGGAAATGGGATCTTTATATTGCAGGTTTCATCCTGTATTTAAAGATTGATCCAATGAAAATCAAGTGAATGGGATTTTTAAGTTGCAGGAATACCTTAGTTCAGTTTTGTGTTGCAAATAACTCTATTGGGCATATTAGTTGTCTCATTTTAATAAAATCCTTCTCCCAGTCACACAAATTAAAATTTACAAGATTGGCTGGCTGTGTCACCTCCTAAATTAATAGTGTAATCTCACCTGTATAATAATATAGTACTGATAATATACAGATGTTTTGCTGAATTTCAACTGTTGTGCAGCTGAAAGTGCAAGACTCAGAACTGAAGAAAACCAGGAAATATATCTTGATTCTAACCTAGGAATTAGATAACCTAGCTGTAAAAGTTCAGATGTGCCCTTGTATTTCCTGTTCCCCAACTTTTTGATGCAGAAGAAGGTACAGGATAAAACAAATACTGTTTATAAGAGTCAGAATGTGATATATCTTTTTACAGCTTTTTTAACTGTTACATGATAGATTCAAAATACAATGTCTACACATCTGCACTGTTGTCTTTCCAGGGAGAGTCGAGCAGAATAGTGCCTCTGCCCTGACCTTTCCCTTATGTAGTATCTAGGTAGGAACATTAACTCCATCTTCCTGCTGAGGTGAGCTTAGGACTGTGTTCTAGACAGATAACTTAATTTATAGTTATTGACAGTACTTTTAGGGCCACCTTCTTCATGTTTTAGAAAGAGGTACCATTTTTTAGATGGCTGCTCTTGGGGCATTCTACATTTTGGAACATGAGTAAAATCTTATAATTGAAAGACAAAAGCAGGCAGAAGAATAGAAATCTGAATCAAATATGAACAACAAAAAGTTCTCACTTTACAGGTGGTCTGTATATTAAAATGGTAGTCATCTGATTTTTATATATTTTTCTGTCTGGAACAGAACCACTGGTCTCTGGCCAGAATTGGTTTGAAAAGCCACAGTCACCATTAAAGTCTAGAATAGATACAAAGTTAAGTAAAAGTTGTGTTCTTCACTTAACAGTCCTAAGTCTTTCTGTGAGGGCTGATGCCTGATAAGAGCATAAATTCTGTTTTAATTTACATTATCAGTAATGTCTTGTAATCAGTAATGCATGGGATGGTGATACATGAGGAAGAAACATTGAGGTGGTTCTGAAAAAGCTGCAATGGCCTCAAATGGCACATCCCCACATTCCTCAGATGCTTTTCTGAACTGAGTCTGTCAAAAAGCTTTACGAACTTCAGTGGTAGGAGTGGAGCAATGCAACTTCCAGGACTGGAAGTTGCATTGCTCCACATAATCTGCTCTGTGTGCACACTGCTGTTCCCTGTAGACATCCCTGTATCATTTCAAACAGTTGCCTTTCAAGGCATAGCAGTCAGGACATCTAGAACAAGGTGCCACAACACTGTACTCACATCTGGACGTTGAGCTATATTATATCTATGACCATGATCTAACTGATGCTGCCTGACAGAAGCCACCTAAGGAAGCTTCAAATTCCTTGAACCCTTACAATATGGGATTTACCCTCTGCACAGGACTGCACTTTCTTTCATCTGAGAATTCTTTAAATGTTCTGTCTGCACAAAAGCCAATGAAACTTAGTTCCTGAACACAGAGGGTGCAATGGAGGCAAGAAGGAATAGGGACACCTCATATTCCCCTGTTTTGATTGCCTTTTCATCTGTCGATGAGTTTTCTGATATGATCTGTTATGAAAGCTTATACCATCTTTACGTGCAGGTTGTCTGTTAAGAATTTAACCCAACCAATGCCATGAAAATAGCCATGGCAGTAGTACAGCTAAGAAAACCTGGGAGAACAAATAGGCGTTGATTACTTGAGTACCATGAGTGCAGAACTGAGATCTGTGAGCAAATTGTGGAGAAAAGCATGAATAGATAACAAAAGTAATTTCAAACCCCAGAAAAATAACAGTAATACTGTACCTTGTAAAGCATTAATATTCAAGAAATATGCATGACTGGAAATGCGATTAGCAAATTTATTGGAGGACAATTGAAGGTCATTAAATAACACAGCGAAATGGTTCTTGTGTTGCAGACTTTTCAATAAAGTTGATGATAAGGTTTCTCTTCCTGAATATCAGAAACAAAAATGATGATTTTTTTTTAACAGTGTCTTTAAGCTCTAAGTTCTGATGCAATTTGCAGAATTAGTGTTAAGCATATTTCAAAGACTCAAATGTATTTATGTAAATATTTTGAAGTATTGGAAGGGTAAAACTGCAGAATCGTAGGTAAGCATAGCACAAAAATTCAAGCCACGCTTTGAGTGTGTGCCCTTCCTTTAGCTGATGTCAGTACTCTGTCAGAGAATACTGCATTCTAGACACCACTAAATCAAAAAGCAGGAGAAACAGTTACTTGCTCATACCTGAGAATAGTAAGTACCTTCAGCACCCACCACTGCGTCTGAGCTGTAGTAGATGGTATTTGAAAGAAAGTGAATAAAACTCTGGTCCTCTAATCAGGTTTCATTTTTCAGTGAAAAGAAAAAGCAGTACAGTAGGCAAACATTTTCATGTGGTTTTGCATTTTTATATATGAGGCCTTAAAAGAAGAATTCGGAAAAGAAGGTTGTGTGTAGAGAATGTGTCTTGTACTGATACAGATAAGGCTGGGCAGGATACTGTTTTTCTTAAAAAGCAATTAGTTTCATCAGTATCATCACTAGTGTCTTTTGAGCCCATCAAGGTAATTAAAATGGGAAAATGACACAGTTTAGGGTACCAGAGATACTCATTTCTGTTCCATTTCATGATTCAAAATATTGGAAGCTGAATATGGTCTAGCAACCTGTGTCTCCATCCAGAGGTGACAATACAGAAACTGCCTTTGTAGAATAGCAAAGAAGACAGTATTGGCTTTCCCTGTTTTTCCTACAGAGAGGCAGTAGATTTGATGGCTATTACCTGAAACCATCTGTAATGGTTTCATTATCACTGGTTGTTGAAAACATTGCAGTGTCACTAAATATCCAATCTTTACAACAGAAACTTTTGATTTCCAAGGAGCAGTTGAAGAACAGAATGGTGAGAAAGTGCTGAACATATATTAATATTGTTGAACAAAAGGACACAGGGTAGTTAAAATGGATTTATAAATCTTGGACTGGAATTAAGTAAAAATTGAGTGTCCTTGTAATTATTTTGGGGAAAGATGTAGTTCTGTAATATGGACGTAAAATAAAGTCTTAGAGAAATCATAGCAATGGTAGCTTAAACACATCAGAAAATATAAAGTTAATGTGTGCTTACAAATGGAGAGTCTGTAGATGTGTAGATTTGCTTTCCATTTAAAGGGAATCATGCTTATTTTCGTCTGTGGAACATTTAAGTCTCTCTCCTGGGTAGGACTATGCCATGACACCTACATATACAAAGACTTTCAGAATCGAATGTTATGTAACAAAAACTAATTGTAGCTGATCTATTACCATGAATTCAGTCATAGTGTGAAAACAGTAGTCCAAAATCATTCAAAATTATATTTATTTTGATAGAAGTTTGTAGTCAGAATTCATGGTATGAGAGACTGAAAATTATGAAAAGGGAGATATGGTTAGAAATGAGTTGGAAAAGGCAAAGTAATGATAGGACAGAGAGAGAAGTAATTGCCTTCTCAGGATTCATAATAATTCCAACCCAATGTGTAACTATAGTGCATTAATATTTTGAAGTGTTGCTATTTTGTCTTTTTCCCCGCTTATAAAATTACCATGTGATCTTTATTCAGAGAAGCAAAACAATAAAAGCTCTGTCTGGATTCTTAATTTAGTTTATCTTTCAAGATTTATGAAAAAGTTATGCAATCTACATGGATTAATTTGAATTAGAGATTTTGTGATACTGAGAATGTTTACAATTTCTTCTTCTGTTATTTTCTGCTGTTGTCTCTACTATCCTTATCTTTGGATAAGAGTAAGATTTTTCATACTTATTGTCTTTAGCTATTGTGTTTTTTATATAGTGTATATTACATACAGTCTATATTATGTAATTGCAGAATTAAATGTATTGCTTTAGCCTTTCCTGTATTTTCTTGCTATATTTTTGAGTAAAAATGTCAGCATACATCCAGTATACAGATGCTATTTTGTGTGTATATGTTTATGCTTTAAGGTAAAGGACTATAACTAAGAGGGAGCTGCCTCATTAAAAAAGTTCAGAAGTGTGTGGGACAGGCTCTATATCTAGTTGTGGCTTACTGCTTTTGGAGAATATTAAGTAATACTGATTTTATTCACATCTCAATGTAGAAAAATGGCCTTTTTGTCCAAATCTTCTGCTAACAAATATTGGTACTCTCAGCTTCTCTATCTACTCTTATATATATATATGCTTAGCATTGCAGTTAGAATGGTGTCAGGGGATATCTTCCCTGAGAGTTAAATGCATTATATCAGTCTTCAGGTCTAATTTCATCCAGATTGATGACAAAATTTTATGGAACATACAGACTCTATGGAGCATTTCTGTCTTAGAGTCTCTTCTGTGTTTTAAGATGATGCTTATATGATTGTGCTATTGCAGATCATATTTTGTGAAGAGGGTACAGAAATGAGACTTTACCCATCTGAGCTTCTGTTTGCAGTGAAAGATCTTTGGTTCTTAGGAAAAGATAAAAATGAAATTAAGAAAACTCTTGAGGGGAAAAAAAAAAGAGTAATTAACTTATGTCTCTCTGTCCTCTGCTGCTTTAATATTAGTTGGGTGTGTTTGCCATGTAAAGGTTTTTTGAACACTGAGTTCCTAAATACTTCTCTTTAATGGGTGACGTTGCTTACAATGAGCAGTTCTCTGTCAAAGCATGATAAAAGAGATGGTACTTATTTTGGGCAGGTGTCAGACAAAGTTTTTGTTAACTTTTTATGTTTATTTATTGAGATTTTCATTTGTTTCTAAATCTGTATATAAGAGCCTCCTACATACTACTCTCATACATCGAGATGAACAATTGCTGCAAATAAATGCTTGTTCCACAAAAAAGCAATAACTACAAATGGAGACTGACTATTGACTTGATGTAAATTTAATAGAATTGGTGACATTGTTTTATTCCTGCATTTAAATGTATTTCTATCAAAAGGATTACTTTGTAGATTAAAAGCTACAGAAACAGAATTTTCAAACTATTGTTTGAGATTTATGGCATGGCATCTCAATCAGGAGAAAAAGTGATTCACATAAGTCGTGCTGTTTTAAAATTAATCAGTCTGTTAGTACTTTCTTCTTCACATCTTTATTTGAAAGAAGTTGGTGCATTACCATGCCACAACTTCTACTAATTCTTTAATATTTCCAACAATAAATCAAAAAATATTATAATCCATTTATCTCAACAGATGAGGTAGCAGTCGATCAGGTATCCGCAGTGAGATGGCAACTATTATCTTTTTTCCCCCTCTGGCTTCTATTAGAAATATTCTTCTAATATGTTTGATAAGTAAAAATCTAAAACTGAAAAATATTTGTAATTAAGAATGATTTTTGATTGCCACTTTGATATGCAAATTTTTTTTCATAACAAATACTTTGCATGAGGACTTTTAAAAAGGCTATTTTAAAAAAATATTGGTATGTGTGACTGCTATGCATGCAAATACTGGTCATTTGATTCTAAAATATTCAAAGAGAGCTTTCTTGCTATGCTATTCAGTTGTGTCTGTCTGGCATTACTAGAATACCTTGCATTATCTTACCAGACATATTCCGAGTTTGGAAATTATGTGATTCAATACTTTGAAAATGTATAGAGAAGTATTTCTCTTACTGCAGTACGCGTCTCAAAGCTACTCGTTCTTATGGATATCAAAAAAATAAACCGTGCATAGTGGGGTCTTGGTAGATACTTTCTAATAACTGGCTTTGCTGTAGTAGGAATGCTCACTTCAGGGCTATACATAAGTAATATAAAATATTTTCAGAACATTTTGAATACTTTTAGCTGCGTTTTGGTGGTGCAAATAACGATTTATTTAGCACTTACAGCAATTATAGCTACATTATTTTAGTATGAATGTAACATGACACGGAGAAGTAGCTCTTTCTATTTGCTTATTTGTATTTCTTCCAATGGATTCTTTGTACTTGCCCAGATTAAAAAAATATTTATACTCCATTATTGTTTTTTTTAACATGCAAAGACATAGCAACCTTTGTCAAAACTGACAGCTGCTTTCACACTACATATCTCATATATAGCTCTAATGTGTGTTCATTCTGTAAGCAAATTTAATTGCCTAAAAATGCATTCTAGTTATGCATGTTTCAAGCTTCTTGGTTTTGCAACAATTTTGGTACAGCCTTGGCATTTGATAGTAGATTAAAATATAATCTAACACTACAATATAAAATTATTGAAGTATAGAAGACAATGGTTATCGAATAAAATTTGGTGTTGTCTTTAATTTTGTTTTACTGATTTATGTTGCTTATTCTAATTTTGCATTTTTTCAATGGTATCTTGATATTGACTGTAAAATGCTGATAAAATTGCAGATATTTTTGTGGTGTGTAAAACTTTCTGGACTTCTTTATCTAGTATCTTCATCATTTATAATTTATGAGCAGTGTTTTGTGACTCATTGGAAAACTGCATGTTGAAGTTAGACCAAGTTTATAGGTCTTTTTGTTATTTCTGATGATTTTTGAGAGAAAGCATTTGTTCTGCTAGCAACAGTGGCTTCACAGTTCTTTGTAATTATTATTATTTTTCAAGATTAATTCCTCCCATTCCTTTGCTACAAATAGATTTTCAGTACATAGCATGGCACTGTCCCTCAGATGTTTTCCATGTCTAAAATGGCAGTGTGCTTTTGAATGTGAAGTAATAACGTAAGTAATGAGATAGCTGCTTTGGCATTTGACTTGCATGCATTTGTAGTAACTTAGACTTCTGTGAGATGAGACCAGCATTGATTCTGAAAAAGTTTCCTGAACTGACCATGAGGGTTAATAGCTATACATTCTCTTTTCACACATTCTGTATTTTGGTCTTAATAATTTTGCCTTTGGCAGAGCATTACAATAATGCAGTCCTTTCCAGAGTGTGTTATGTGGATTCTGAAATGTCTGAGCTTGTACATACATTTGCAAAAAAAAAAAAAAAAAAAAAAAAAAAAAAAAATTATTTTCTGGTTTGGGTATCTGATGTTTGGTTCAGCATAAATTACAATAACTTCATAACTGAAAAATCTAACAATAGAAGTCCCTTGAACATTAAACTGAGTGTTCAGTACTTGAAAGAGAAAAATAATATTTGCTTTCAAGTAGATAACGTTCAAAAAATTGAACAATCATGAACAAAAGTATTTATGCTAGTTAACATACCTTTTACTATCCAGCTTTTTCTTCAGCATCATTACAGGGATTGACTTTGCTGCCAGTTGTAACTTTTATTATTTCCTCAGCTTCTATACTAACTCTGTCTTTACTGTTCTTTTCCAACAACAGTAGTTTAACCGCTTCTTTCTCAGCTTTCTTTTTTCTTCTAGTGTCTTTTATTTTTTTTTTTCTCCACTTACTAACTCTGCTCTGCAGACTTCTCTCTAAAACAATTTTTGGCCCTTTCCCTCAGTGTCAGTTTTAACCTTCTGAATACATCCTCTCACGCCCATCTCCTTTGTCTATGTCTGTACATTATACGATGTGATCACAGAAGAAGCGGAATCATCAAGGAGAACAAACTCAGGTCTGTCTCTTCTACTGCTTTTCTCTGTGTTATTTTTTTTATTTTACCTTTCTATAGATTTTATCACAGCTCACCTCACATACTTTTCCCTCTCTTCCCCCCCTCCAAATAAACTGGCAAATATTGTCAAGGTGTAAGAATTTTAGTTTAAGACTCTTATGTAATTTCTATTACTTATGAACTATGAACTCTATAAAAATTGATGAAAGGTAGCTGATGACAAGCAGGCTATACCGTAAGATTTTAAACTGATTTGAATTTTGTCACATCTGTTCTTATTTCCCATCTCAAATCATCTGAAAATTAGCCTTTAAAGTTCCAGTTAACACATGAAAACAATCTATAATTTGTTTTGTCTATGCATTTGAAAACTGCTACAAAAACTGCAGAAACTCTTCTATAAATAGTTCTTTTTTTACTCTGGGAGGATATAATTTCAAAACAGAATAATTTCAGTAAGTTAAATTTCATGCACTGGAATTTCAAACTTAGTGTTTGAATAAAACCTGTTTTGAATAAAGACTGTTTTAATTAGAAGTAGAGTTTTTAGTGAACAAAAGCTCTTTTCTCATGCCAAAAAGTGCAAATCGAAAATTTCTGATAGTATGAGAGCAAGAAGTTAGAACACTGAAGGAGTCCTCACTTAGCTGCATTGTTTATGAGGCTTTTATTTCATATTGTACATAACTTATGGTTTTTCTTCATAACAAATTTTAAGCTGCCATTTTATTGAATTTTCCATGTACTTTATATTACTGGCAGAGAACTAATATCTATCAAGGCATCCTAGCTCTGAAAATGCAGTATAAATGCAGTATTTGTTCACATTTCCCTGTTTGTTCAGATGTGGTATGTAGAACAACAGCAAAATTCCCCATATTTAATGAAATTAAATTCAGCTATAAAATTCAAATTTTACAATTACTGTGTAAAAGCTTTAATTAATTTCCTGTTTCTCTGCTCTTATCCCAACAAATTAGAGAAGCCACTTGGATGCCATTGAGGTTAGCAAATCTGGAGAAGTTTTGGGGTACATTGACTGGACCATTAAATTTAGGTGATACTTAGTGAAACATTTTTGTCTTTTCTCTACTATGACTGGCTCCTTCAGAGCTCAGTTTTACCTTTCATATTGGTCTTGTCCTAATTAGAGTCAGAGATTATTTTTACAGAATCTTGCAGATGTTATTTGCTGTGGTTTTCATGTTAAACAAATCTCAAGATAGAAATTTTTAAAATTACAGGGTAAAAATAGTTGAGGATGGGTACGGAAGACAACTGGCAGGGTTTTCTGAAATCACTCTTCTGTAAATCACTACTCTTAGGTATTAATAAATTATGCTGTAGAAAGACTTGAGTTTACTTACCTTGTGCTTATGATTCACTGCCAGTTCCTGTGCAGTGATTCTGAATCTCTTTTATTACAAAAATGAACTTAGGAGATTGGTGACCCATTTACTATCTGTTCTTAATAAAAGCTGTAGGCCTTTTTATTCAAAAACCTTCCTCTGAGTTATTGATTGAATCAATATATTAAATCAGAATATGGAATCAGTCCATATCTCTCTCGGTGCTGGAAGAAATCAGACCTTAAAATGGTCAGAAAATACCATTTATTTACTTCACCTATGTTTCTTGAACATTTATAAGTAGGTAATACTCTGTATTATTCATTTTTTTGACATTGCAATTCTGCAAAACACTACTTAGCTCATAGGGTTAAGTAAAAGTGTTAGGCACTGATGAATTTAATTGCTCAGCACACAAATTTAAAAGCGTGATCAGCTCTGCAGTTGCAATAGTTGTTATTACTGCCCTTAAACTCAGGAGAAAATTATTGTGTGTATAGTAACATATTTTCAGATGCACGTTTGAAACAGGTCCTCTTCCATGTTTGCCTTAGTAAGAAATGAGGTTACATGTTTCAGTACAAGGCACTTGGAGCACAGCTAAAAAGAAGGGTTTTATTTCAAAGGCATACTTTAGAACAAAGCATTTTTCCATTGTTTTAGAATTTGTTTTAACAAGTGTGAATGTAGGATTATCACTTTACAGGTTTTCTTAGGAAATTATTTTCACATAATTTATTTACCATGGTTTATTTTTGATGCTACCAAAATTAATGTGTTCCAGAGGATTAGCTATTGATTTGAGGTGTTATTAGACCAAGAAGTCTTGTGAAAGCTAAATATCTGAATTTGTTACAATTGTATTGATAGAAAAGTTGCAATTTCCTCTGTCTGGATATTATAATTTATAATTGTAAAAAATAAAATTTTATTCCTTGAAAAACTTAGATTTTTTTATTGAAAAGTTTTATGAAAGTGTGTGCAAAGCTTTTGCTGTATATTTCAAGCACAAAACATGTTCGGAAAGATAAGAAGCAAAAGTATTTTATTATGAATTTTTTTTATCTGACAGCAGTAGATCTTGATAGCATCCTTAATGATTAAACCCTGTTTTTCTTGGGTGAAGGAGGAGCTTTGCAATACAGGCTTTTCACAAACCTGCTTTGAGATGCAGGGTTTTCATATTTTTCAAATTAATATTTTTCATAGGTTTAGATGTTGTGAAAACTGTTGAGGAGATGTGTGCCTGTTCATAGTCCCATGTCTTCACAAAGAATACTTCCATTCAGGAGAAGTGGAAGTGAGCCATTGTCTGCCCAAGAGCCTTAGTGAGAAGCAGACATCTTTATTTTCATCTCTAAAATGGGAGAGACCAACCAGTTATCATCATAGCAAAAATTGCTGGCAATTGCACACTGTGTTCTTCAAACATATGAAATACAGAGAACATTGTTCAGAATTCCAACAATTGATCTAGCTGACTCAAGTAACTGCCCAAAAAATGATCATCAAAACATTGCAAAGGCAGATCCATGCCAGTGCAAAGTCAGTCAGTGCACCTGCAGCAGAAATAGTGCTGAGTCAGTAATTCTAAGATGAGAAGGGGTGGCATAGTGATACCCAGGCGTTCTAAACTTTCTAACATGGATGGAAGTTAGAAGATAGTAGGGACTGTTCCATTTCTAAAGGGTGAAAGGCATGGAAATAGATATTGAAGTACTTTTTTGCAACCTCTGGTGTAAAGCTGTCATGTTAAGAGCAAACAAAGGCTTGATTAGAGTTTTTGTTAATGTTCAGCGTGAAATTCAAATAGACAAGGGCTTTGAAATACCTTTTATTTTTGGTGCTTTATTATGAAGTTTCTTTGTAATAACATGATGGATGGAAATGAAGCCTACAAAACCTAGCAAACCCTACTGAGGATGAGTGATCAAACTGAAAGACCTCATAGACCTGGAGAGTGGAGGGCCAAACAGTGAAAGGATGTGGCAAATTTACTGTAGGAGAAAACAAGGACAAAAAAAGTGGTACAGTTCAGTGTTTAAGAAATCAGCTGCAGTAGAAGGCAAGGAGCAGAGAAGGAGCACAGGTCTTTTAATTTATTCTTATCTTACAGAACTGTGAGAGATTTTTCAAGTCTTCCAAGAGTGAATCTTCTGTGATATACTTACCCTTTATAAACAGAACATGACACCCCTCTGCTTTTGAGTTATTATTATAGTCAGTATTCTGCGACACACTTTCCTTTAAAGAGCAGGATGACGCCTTGTTCTGTTTCCATTTTCCTTATGTTGAAAAAACATTTCTGGGTAGGATTTGTATCATTTTAGCACAAATATGATTAAATTACTTGTGCATCTCTGAACACTTCTGCGATATTTAGTTTGACAGGCTTATTTAAAATCTGATGCCTTAGATTGTGAAAGAGACATTTAAAGCACCTAAATCTGTATTTGGTTAACAAAACCCAAAGGGTAAACTCCAAATTCAGTCTAATTTTGTAAACTCTGAATTCAATCTACAGGTACTTAGCACAGTAATAGATGTATCATACTGGATGGCTGGGCAGCTCTTTGTCCTTATTTTTTATTTTGTTTAGAATTAAAGCCAGAAGCCAAAGACTTCTGAAGTAGCCATCTGTACTAAGCCACAAAAATAAAGGCTGATGATCAGTCTGCTGAAGCTAAAATAGTAAATACATCAGATTATGTAATTTAAAATGACAGCATAATTTTGCAAAATGTTTGGTAGTTTAATTTGTAACTATTCTGAGTTCTAAATGCAGGTGATGATTTTGTGTTCCTTGGTTAAACCTTTGACTATCTTTCTAGTTATTGAGACGCTAATGAATATATCTTGCATTCTTCGATGGCTGAAGAATCTCTATGAATACCTGTTAGCTTTTCTGAAAGCAGAGGCACCAAATGTTTATGCCTGTGATTGGAAGTGGCTGTATTAGAATGTGAAATTCTCGGTGGTTATGCTGTGCAGTGTACCAGTGGGGGGAACTCTGAGATGCATGCTTAGCAAGCAGGATGTTGGAAAGCTTTATAATAAGACTGTGCTCAGGTTTTCCTGAAAACAATGAAGAGCTTATAGTGTGGCAGATCTGAATGGATATTTATGATTACAAAATATAAGGGCCCACTGATCACTCAGATATTTTTCTTTCACACTTTCAAAATCCTATTTCGTGTCATTTATATAGGGAGGATGTGCCAGAATTCTTGGGAGAAGCAAAATGGGATGTTTTGGCTAATATTTGACTTACTACTTCTTTCTTCCATGCTTTTTCCACATAGACCTCAGTATTTTATGAAAGCTACCAAAACGTGTGTACACCTTTGTGTGAGGCACAGAAAAACATCACTGGCTACCCTGCAAAAATCACCATGGAAAAGAATCGAGTCAGGATAAAAAAAAAGGGCTAGCCATTGCCCTAATCATCACTTTAATAAATATGCAAAATAGAACTTTCCAACTTGCTTAGAAAGATGTTCATCCTTTACCATCTGCACTGATCTGTACCTAATGATGGAGACCTTAGCTGACCCTGTCAATTTATAAACCCAGGATTGTAGAAATTCTTTAACTTCCCTGTTTAGATTACCACACTATTTTATTCAGTTCTTTTACTAAACAGTGCCATGT